CCCAACCAACCGCCGTGAAAGATAAACCTTCATCTTTCACGCCCTCCCTGCCCCTAACCCTGTCTTTTGCCTCCTCCCCGCCCCCAACCAAACGCCGTGAAAGACAAGTTAATCTTTCATCCCATACCCCACCCCAATCCCCGCCGTGAAAGATAACAGTCAGTCGTTCAGCCCCTCTCCGCCCGCAACCCCTCCGACGTGACAGCTACAAACTCATCCTTCACCCCCACTCTCCAGCCCCTATATACACCTTTGTGAGCAATAGCATGCATCAATGCAGACACCCAAAGCATATCGCTTTTCAAACGGCGATATGTTCGATTCGTTCTTTACTGCAAGCACAGCTGCTTTGCTGCTCATGGGTTGTAACATACCATATTGTCATTGACACTTATCATCCTGTGGTGCTCTGCTCGCATTATCTGATCTTTCCTAAACCGTCCATCTGAAGCCTGCTGCTGAAATTTTAGTATTGCCTTTACGTTTAATTGGCACATAGCTTTTCGGTTGCGTGTGTTGCCCAGCGCTTGCTGTTGTTGAACTTCCGCGAGCAGCTTTTGGGAGCGGCCGCTGATTCGCCGCAGGCGTTCTCCAAAGTGGAAGTAGACCACTCTCGTGTGAACGTGATTTCGTATTCAGTAGTAAACCAGCCGTGGTGGTACCCTGTCGCGTCCAGCAGTGATTTCGTATTCAGGGCTTATGGTTGAAAGTTTACAGCGTCAGTGCGTAAGTCGTAAGGTTTGGGGTTTGAGGCTTGGAGTACGGACTTAGGGTGTAACAATTCAGGTTTGGGTTCCGGGCAAAGGCTTTCTTGCAAAAGCATGTGACAGGGCAGCCTTGAGAACACATATTGTGTGAAGACGTGCCACTATGTGCCACTGTGCCGAGCACAATGTGTTGGATGCCACTGCAACCTGGAAATCCGGCTGTCTTACTCTCTTGAGAAGGCTGTTGCCGGAACCCAGCATCATCAGCATCTCAGCCTCTTCTCTCGTAAAAGAACACGCGGGGGAGGTTCCCAAATCAGGCCGCCGAGAAGCTAATTCACCCTCTGGTAAGAGACGTCGATAGCCATCGGAGGCTATGTTGCTTTGGCCAAAACGCGAACAGTCTCGCAAGCACTGGGGCGTCTGATTGTCAGCTGCGTCAATGTATATGGTAAAGACATGTATAAACAATTATTCGAGATTGAAGCTATTGTTATAGCCTGAAAGACCGTGCGCAGTCCCAGCAACAATAGATTGAAACATGCTATGCTTGGCCTTCTCAAGCTTGCGGTTGTAAAGCTGACGCTGCTTCTCTGCCAGCTCATCCCAGAACTTGCCCTGACCAGAACTTCGGGACACTTCGACTTCAACGAGGCTACGCAAGCTTGTCAATGGAGGAAGCGACACTCGACTCCAATAGCCGAAGACTTTATGGGCCTGCGGCTGAGTCTTTGGCTCCGTCCCCGCGCTTGCCAAGGCGCGATCAACACAGGGATGCCGAAACTCCTAAGTGACAGTGCCCGCAAGGCACGTGAAGCTCTTCGCAAAGTCCTTTCGTGATTGTAGTCTTCAAGCCCTCATGAACTAACTCTGCAAATATCTCGCTTTGAAGCCTGCAGGCTGACGGCAACACAATGTAGTACTGGAGCAGGACATGGCTGTTTACAGCGTCTTTGTGCCAAGTCTCAACAGTCGCTTCTTCAATATCTGTCGAGTTCACCTCCGTGGCGAATTGTTCGGGTCTGTGTTTCACTGGCTGCAAACAGGAGTTCTGGAGTTCTGGCAGACAGTTGCTAAACCGAAAGCATGTGAATTCTGATAACCTTCATGGATTTGGAAAACTCAAAGCTTCGGTTTGGAATAGGCCTCACTAACAGCTAACACGTCCAAGGGCTTAATATCCGTGTTGATGCGCAGTGAAATCTAGATAAATATTGGTTGACATTGGTTGGATACCGTGAACCTGCAACTGATTCTAGGCTGGAGCTTCGACACTGTCAACCTGTCAGCCTAAGATGCAAGCATGCCTCGGATTTTGATTCGGAAAAGATAACGACGCTCTCGTCTACCTGAGCTGCATGGGCAAGACAAAGACCATCCATGACTCGCCAGGTCTCACCAGCATCCGGTGTCAAGAGGTATTCGACTAGGACTGGCGGCCTGCCTGCTCTTGCCTCACATGGCGCTCACCTTTGGCAAAGCCACCAGGAAGGTCCGCTTCAGACAGCAGCCACGTGCGATTCCGAGCTCCTGGCGCTTATGCAACCCGTAACAAGCGTGATGTTGCCCAAATGTGCCTGGTCCACCGAAGACAGCTGAATTAGATTTTCTGTTCCGACCTCGACCCGCAAACGGCGCTTGCTCAGCGATCTACAGCCGGTCCTTGAACTGAATGAGACCGAAAGGTGCACCTGAATGGAGGCGGCGAACGCTAGGAGTCGTGCAGGTTTGAACAGCACTTGGGAAGCCTGCGAAACTGTGGAGTGTGACCAGGTTTTAGGCGAGAGGTGTGGTTGAGACGGGACTGTGTCGAAACTGCTCGGATCTAGGCGCAGCAGATGCCCCTCAATCGCAACACTGACCGTCCAGCACAAATGAACTGCGTCCTTGGCACCCTTCGCATCACGATCCAGGCGAAGCCTCAAACAGATTCATGTGCACAAGTACAGGATTGTGGACGCTGGCCGCGGCCACGTGTGTGTCCTTATCGGTTAGAGAAACTAGACTGCAAAACTGTGGGCTCACTCACCTGGGTCTTAGAGTCCGAACTTAGTCGCAACTGAGACTCTGCCTCTGCTCAACTGCTCAACACTTTCGACCTTGAAGGTCCCTTCACCTTTCTCCGGGGGTTCAACTTGGATTCGCTGCCACATTCTCCAAGCGGCTGCTCCACGCTGCCGAACTGCTCTCCAAGCCGCTGCAACTCCTGCGACGAGGCCCGAGCCCCCGTGCTTCAGATCCCAAGGACCCCTCCTGCAGGGTCGTCGACGCGGGCAGCCCAGAAACGTGCACCGTTCGCAGAGTCCGCGCCTCGTTTCAGCTACCCGTAGCATTGCAATGATCAAATGCCCGAAGGCTCTAAGCCTGCGCTGCAGCAACCCTTTTACAAGCAGCTGGGATGCAACCAGAATTCCAAAGAACCCGGCCTCTGCATGCTCGCGCAGCTTCTTGTGCCACTCTTGCCTCGTCGGAGCTCGACGGCTCGTGTGTGTGCAGAGCCCTTTTCGCCATGATGCGCCGCCGCAGCACATCTTCAAGTGCTACAGGAGTGAGAAGAAGAACACTGGGCCTGGCGACTTCGGGATCTTCCTTGTTCGCGAGCTCCTCTTCTTTGGCCTGTCTGAGTGATGCTGAGACTCGCACGACACGGTTTCACAGATATACGACAACCCCAAGCCGTGAAAGTGGACTTTACAGCAGCATCGGCCATAGCAAAACACCCAACACTTACTGCCGGCCTGTAAACGGGCAAGGACATCGTTAGCCGCATAGGACGTCGGATCAATGGCCTAGGTCTCTATTGATCCAAAAAACAGGCTGGTCTGCCAACAGCAAGAACCATGTCTGATGCAAGGTGGCACAGTAGTACACCTGTAAGTGGTGGCAACAACGGTTGAAGGGCATTTCTGCCTCTGCTCATGCTGGGACACATTGTACTCCTCATGAGGCCAAAGGTCAACAACATGTTGCCGTACCTGTGTGTGTGTGTGTGGGAAGCTGTCTGGGTGCTGGGTGCTGGGTGCTGTGTGCTGGGTGCTGGGTGCTGGGTGCGGGGTGCTGGGTGCTGGGTGCTGGGTGCTGGTGATGACGACGATGACCGATTGATAGATAGTCGATAGTCAGCTAGACAGATATATAGACGGATAGATAGATAGATCGACAGACAGATAGCCAGATAGAGAGACAGACAGATAGACAGATAGCCAGATAGATAGATAGATAGATAGATAGACAGATAGATAGATAGATAGATAGATGTATAGATAGATAGATGGATGGATGGATGGCCAGCGCGAGACAGAGAGAGAGAGAGAGAGGAGCGAGAGAGCGAGCAAGCGAGCGAGCGAGCGGGGGAGTTAGGGAGGGAGGGAGGGAGGGAGGGAGGGAGGGAGGGAGAGAGGGAGAGAGAGCGAGGGAGACAGAGAGAGAGAGAGGGGATAGAGAGAGAGACACCGAGGGATGGATAGTGGATAGACAGATAGACAGATAGGTAGATCGATTGATGGATGGATTCATGGATAGAAAGAGAAGCCGGTAGATAGATAGAGACAGAGAGAGATGGATGGCGGGCCTGTAGCTACCAGTAGGTCAAGGTAGGTGGATGGATGAGTAAACATAAGCGGATGAATGAATGGATGCATAGATAAGCAGATAGATACAGAGATAGACAGTGTTACACAAAGATAGACAGCCAGGTATGTAGCAAGATAAATAAATGACGCTGACAATGACTGTGAAGATGACGATGGCGGGCGGGCTGCCACACAGAGTTAGCAGAACCCTTGCCCATTT